TGAGTTTCAAGCCAGCTTTCACACTCTCCTCTTTCACCCTCATCAAGAGGCTCTTTAGTTCTTCGTCACTTTCTGCTTTTCTCAAAAATCTAAAAAAGGTCTGGAAGCAAGGCAAGCCAAGTAAAATAATCAGGAAGCCCTATGCATTTTCACAAAACTGAATCAAACCAAAGCAAGAATCAATGTTTCTGATATGACTTCTTTTATTACAGATATCAAGCTAAGAAAATATTTTGCCTACATCCAATAAATATCCATTTCATAGAAGATAAAGCAATTAATTTTGCAAAACATCTCTAAATGTATACCTATTCTATATAGATAAAATAATGCCTCTAATTTAACCAGATAATCATTCTAAAACCAGTTGTTGTTTGGTATTGTTGTCACTTGGTACATTCATTTCTCTTCTACCAATCTAGGCCCTCAAATGACACCATGCTTTCATCATCACTCTTCCCATCCAGCACCAGACATTGTGCTGCCATTTATTCTCTCCCAGTCTTTTTTCCTCCCACTCAAAACATATCCATATGCCTTTTCCTTAAAGTCATGAATATACTTAGGTTATCCAACTGCTCCCAAAACACACATTCAAGATTTATTTGAAGTCAAACTATAGTCTTCATTGCAGAGTTCTGTTCTAAGTATTGGGGTGGGGGATGGTAAATCACAAATTGCCATTACAAAGGATATTGTGGTAGGAATGCTTTAATCTGCTATAAATACAGCACTGATTGTTCTGAAATGACATTGCAGTAATTTAATTTGTTATTTGATTGCAGAGGAGGTCATCCTTATCTGACAGGACTTGCTATAGCTGGTGGAACATATTACCTAGGACTAGAAGGAGCCATCATAGGACCCATACTCCTTTGTATTTTTATGGGTGCCTCTAATATATACAGTGCTATGCTTGTGAGCCCAACCAATTCATTGCCTACTCTATCACAGATGCCTCAGCCTTTGAAGATATACTGGTAAACATTCATTCATCCATTCGTTAGATATATATCCTGCCTTTCTTCCAAGAGCTTTTAAAATATAACTTTTGGGATTTATTTACTCAATAGTTTATTTAGTTTCTTTACATTAACACTCATGTTAAAGCATGTATTAATACAATAATAGGTATTTAGTAGGTACGTGGATATATTGTGCGTATGTGTGTTTTAAAAATGTAAAGATAAATTCCAGATTTCCCATCAAGGAAATATTTTTATTAGTCTAATAATGACATTGCCAAAATATGGATTCAGGATTTTTTTTTCTTATATAATTGCCACCTTTAATGCTTATGTGACTTGAAGAAATTTTTAAAAGGAAATAAAATAACTTAAATTCAGAAAGATGAAGGTGCAAAAGTATTCAAATGAAATTAACTTTTAATTATTGATATCCTTGCTGCTAATCATTTCATATTTATACATTCTCTATGACTTAATAAAGTATGCATCAATTAGGCAACAGTGAGAATAATATAGGAGGTTGCAAATAATGGACAGCTCTACCTCAAAATCACAGGAGGTTAGCATTGGTTTCAAGGAAAAAATGTCTTAGGGAGAGCTAGAGAAATTTTACTGTCAGCAGCAGAGAGATTTATTTCTCAAAGCTTTTATTATCACAGAAACTACTGCAGGCCACAGTAATTCCTACCTTTTCTTGGCTGACTGATTTCATAGCTAATGCTTCAGTCCATGTTTTATGCAAAAATGCTATAGCTTTGGCATAGAAAGAATAAGATAGGTGGACTTCTAGGGAAAAAATGGCGAACTGAAGACGGAGCCAATGAGCACAGTGGAATAAAGAGCCAGCTGTTCATAATTCCTCTCCAGTTAAGGACAGGACTTGAGATCACCCACATATGCTCCAGACAGTTGCTCCTTGTGTGGCGACTGCAAGAGAGTGGTCTTCAGTGGATTTAGAGCTCTGGAAAATGAGGGAATAGCCATCTTGCTCAAACCATGGTCAGCGCCTTTAAGGACACTGGGTTCTCATACTTCCTTTTCTAATCGCTTTCGGAAATTGTTTGTTAACTGCTTTTTAGCTATTAGGAACCTTTGGATCAACAAGTCTGAAAACACCAGATGAGTTTCCTTCAATCCTTGGTGAAAGAAATGTTAAATACAAGTTTAAGGACTTTTTTTTTTAAAATAAGCAGTAAAAGGGTAATTAAGAACTTTGATTTTGGAAAGTTAAAAATGGACTAAGGGTCCAGATCTATTTGAAATAAGATTTTGGAATTAATTATAAGAAATCTTCCCATGGGAAAGTGCTCTTTTTAAATAAAAAATATAGGAAGCCTCAACAATAGAGTTAGTGAATATGATGAATAGTTGGTGAAGATGATGGAATTTGCAAAGATGGCTAAATTAACTTCTCTGATTAGAGAAAAGACAACATCTATATTTATGGCTGACTGGAAACCCCTTATAGACTTTTTGCATGAAACAGATTAAAAAAATGCACTTATGACTTGTGGTTTTGATGATTAGAAAAAAAAATAGATAATAGAAAAAAGTGAGCTTTTTTTGTAATCTTGGAGTAAGAGATAACTTTGTAATCATACTTGTATTGTTGCAAAGAAAATCTGAAGATTCTTTCTATTTCTTTTTATCTTTTCTTTCTGCATCTTTCTTTTTCTGTCTTTGTTTTTTTTATACCATATTTGTTTTTGTTAGTTTTTATCTTCTCTTTAAAACTTTTAATAAAAGATTTATGCAAAAAAAAATGATAGGATGAGACTTTGAAGGTTGGACACTTAGAGGGAACCAGAAGGAACTAAAGATTACAGTTAAAGGAGAAGGACAGTTAAATTTGACTTACTAATACAGAATGAAGCAAAATATTTTAACACTGGACATATTGAAGGATATTTTGAACGTTAAATTTGACTTACTAATACAGAATGAAGCAAAATATTTTAACACTGGACATATTGAAGGATATTTTGAACGTTAAATTTGACTTACTAATACAGAATGAAGCAAAATATTTTAACACTGGACATATTGAAGGATATTTTGAACAATGGACCCAGAAGTTAATTTTAAGAGTGTCCACCTCTATAGATAGATTATGTTTAAAAGATGTTGTAGAAGAGGAATAAGTTTTACCTGACAAGATTGAGATTGATCTGAAAGTGGATTTAAAAATGACAGGCTACAAGAAGATATGGAAAAAGATGCTACACTGGACATACAAAAGAAGCTGGCTGATGTCTTAATAATGAAAAGGGATATACAAATCAAGAGAGTGACTTGGATAATTTTCCTACATTGGATTTATGAAAGAGGCTTGTTAAAGCTTTGACAAATTTTGTGAGAAGGGACAAAGAAAAAATAAAAAGAAATCAAGTTCTAGGACATTATTTGAAGGGACTAAAGATCAAGATTGTTAGAAGTGAAAAAAAGATTGTTAGAAGTGAAAAAGGAAGGAATATAAAGTTGGTTTATTTGATCAAGGTTAAAATAGATGTGTTATCTCTGGAATTGACTTTGACTCATCAGGACTGAAAGGAGGCTTTAAGAATTTGTTTATAGATAAGAGGTGAGATATGGGAAAAAGAGATCATGTGTTGTATTTTAAGAGAAGGTGATAAGTTACTAAAATTGTGATGAAGGGGAAAGCCATTTCTTTATATATTTCTTTTCTTTTTCTTTACTATTTTCTTATTTTTTCTTTCTTTTTTTATGCAGCTTCTATTTTTTCTTTTTATTCTTTTTATCTTTGCAGTTGTAATTTTTAATAAAATTATTATTTAAAAAAAGAAAAGATAAGTTTAGAAAGGATTCAAGTTCTAAAAAACAGTTTGGAAATTTACCAGATATATATTTCTGAGTCAGGGTAGATAGATAAATGTGTAAATATATTATGTATGTAAGTATGTGTGTGTATAAATAAATAGAAATAAATATTTTAAAAGGCAAATTGGATGGATAACACTGGTATGTGTAAATATATATATATATATATATATAAATATTTTAAAAGGCAAATAAGATGAATAATACTGGTTTGTATGTATGTATACATGTATTGTATTTATTTATTTAACAATTCATTGATTTCATGTATGTATTCATGTATTTATTTTACAGTATTTATAGCCTAACTCCAATCCAAATAACTCTAGTTGGGGCAAAGTAGATCCCCCCAAAATGCATTAAAAACATATAAACAATAAAACTCAACAACAAAACAAACCAAAAACCAAAAACTGGTACATTAAAGTAGTTATGCAAACGAAGGGCCAAATGTGCCAAGCAGCCTTGTGTGGTCCACCAGTGTTTTTTTTTTTAAGTATTTTGCAGCCACATCAGCCACTTCCACATTGTCAAACACCTTAAATAACTTCAGGCCTCATAGATGCTGCCTGCTCCATCGCTGCCGATGCACCACTAGCCACCAAACAGCTGATCAGCATGCCAGCTATTACTGTGTGGCCTGTGATTATTTTTAAGGTAGTAATCTTGGCCTTTTCCTTCTATGAGTTGTGCAGGCTTCCTGTAGAGAATGATACCTGTAGAGTTGGAACCAACCATACCTATAAAATGGAGGCCATCACTGAAAAGGCCGTTGCCTGGCACATACCCCATAAAAAAGAGAAAGGACCCTCAGGAGGGCCTTTTAAATTACCAGAGCAAATGGTTAAAATCAATTTTGGCAACGTGTTGCATGAAGTAGCCCACTGCTGTGCTTTAAAGGCTTTAAAGGTGATAACCAGCACTCCCAGAATCAACATCTCCCCAGAAACCTGAATAAGCCAGAAGGGGCATGGAATTAGCTCACAGGTGGCAAAATTGAGATACAGAGGACCCTATCCAGTTTCTTGGGCTCCATAAGACAAATCCCAAAGGTGTGATAATTCACCAGAAGGTAATCTTCCTAATCCATTAGGAAGAACAATTGCCACTTTGCTACTCTTAACACCACTGTGTAGGTTCAAACATGAGCTCTTACCAGTGCTCAGTACTCACTTCTGTTTTTCTGCTGTAGTCACTCTAATGTCTTCTGATCAATTCAGTAAACCAAAGAATTGCATGGGATTGGCAACTGAGCAGAGGCCTTGCCGAATGAATCTCATCTAATACTCTGGCCATCTTTGCATTCCAGAGATCAACTAGTCAGGAAATAAAATTGCTCACCAAATTTTTGAGGCGTTCCCTAAGTGCCCTCTAGAAACCCTCTACATCCCTCAGCCACCTGGGATAGACAAGTCTAAAGAATCTACTACACTTGCAGAGGTCCAGGGTTACTGTGATCCACAGTTTGACAAGTAATCTGACCAGGACTCATGTTAATATCCTCCATGTAGGTAGTCCTCCCTTAACAACCAAAATAGGGACCAGAAAATTCATTGTTAAGCCAGGTGGTGGTGAAGTAAGGCACGCCCGATTTTATGACTTTTTTGCAGTGGTCATTAAGTGAATCACAGTGGCTGTTAAGCGAATCATGCAGTTCCCCATTGATTTTGCTTGCCGGAAGCCAGCTGGGAACGTCGCGAATGGCGATCACATGACCTCAGGACGCTGCAACCGTTGTAAGTGTGAGCTGGTTGCCAAGTGCCCAGATCACGATCAAGTGACCACAGGGATGCTGCAACAGTTGTAAGTGTGAGGACTGATTGTAAGTCCCTTTGTTCAGCACTGTTGTAACTTCAAACGGTCACTAAATGGTCGTTAAGCGAGGACTACCTGTATTCAGATCACCTCTCATCTGTTCCAAACTAAAGAACAGATCAGGCATGTGACCATACACGAATCAGTGCTGCAGTTATTTGCACTAGGCCCATGCTAGCCATGAAGACCATGAACTCACAACTATACCAGAATCCCTTCCCAGGCCATGGAGACTGAAGTCACTCAAGACAGCCAGCTTCAGGAACTCTAACAACAGCCCAAAGAAGCTTGTGATGGGACAGCTAAATGGTTGGGATATTAGCAGAAGTTTCACCTCCGCACATAGACATTTGCAGTCAATCACCTTCAGGTCAATGGGAGTCCCATGAAAAATCACAGTTACCCCTTCTCCTAACCTTAGCATCTGTAGACCTGAAACCCATCCAGGCAAACTTCCAATAGTGCAATATCCCAATTGGCTACATCTCAGCCAGGTCTCAGAAAAACACACTAGGTCTATGTGTTCATCCACAATTGTATCCTGAATGGACATAGTTTCGCTTCACATTTATCAACAGCAGGTGGAGGTCAAGGTACCAGACAATACAGCCACCTGGGCCCAGGTCAGGGCTAACTTAAGTCAGTAAGAATTACCTATCCAGCAACCCCACGATCATACTTGTCATGGGCTCAATCTGCCCTCCACCAAGTCTTCAGTCCTAGCCCAAACTCTTAACCCTCCCAGTAGTTCCAGCTTATAACTTATTATACCACAGTTATTATAGCTGTAGCAAACTTTTACAATAAATATAACACTTCCTTTTTCAAGATAATTTCAGGTTCAACCATTTGAACCCCTGCCCTTCTCTTTTCATTTTGTTGTTTCATGTAGGATTTGGGAAATTCTGTAATAATTTTTTCCAGGTATTCAGTACATATTTTATCATTTCTGTTTGGTTTTCAGAAATGTAGGTTTTGTTCTTTTAAGTGACTTTTTCTTTCCCATGTAGAGAAACGCCTGAGGAACTAAGAATTGCCAAGGAATGATACACAATATTTTATATATTCTGTTTCTTTTGAGAGAAAAAAAGCTCAAGAGATATAGCTTTGATCGTCTCTCCAGCAGGCCCTACTGAAGCTTTTGCTGATGAAGCATTCACTTATGAGGATACCCATTGATATGTATGTTGCTATACTGTACATTACCTTTGCTGCTGCCCATTTCTTGCTTATTATACAAATATAGGATTTATTAGTCATGCCCTCTCCCCCAAAAGGATTCACTTGGATTTGTTTGTAACCAGTTGAATTATTTAACATATTCATGGCTATGAACATAATTATGCAGTTTCTTTGTCCCAAAGCTATTTATATTTGCTTAGATGTGAAGCCATTATAGTATAGCATATGCTAATTTTGTATTGCTTTAACAAAATGCTATTGTAATTTTATGAGCACTTTCTTGATCAAGGGCACTGGGATTTGGGTCACTAATATATTTGAGGCTGGTGGTTTGTTTTTGTTTTGTTTGGAGAGGGTGGGATTTGGTTTAGGGCAAGGTGCAAAGCCATTCACTATAATTTCTGAACCATGATTTCTTGCCTGGGATGTGTTCCAATATTATTGATTTTGTTAGGATGTTATGTATTACAGCTATGTAACAAATACATAGAATTATTTTTAACAGCTTAGTAAGGATGTTTATTTAAAATACCTTTGTGATGTAATGTATTAGTAAATGTCAGGTTTTTTAATATTGAAAACTCAATGAAAGTATCCCAGGGTCAACATAATTAATTATGTTACTTAATACTTAAAATGATTTGTATAGAGGTAGACACATGTTTTAGTATTTTGGGGAAACATAATATTCGACTAAATCTACAGGTGTCTACTACTAAAAAAACTGGAATATTGTTCACTTTTTTAAAAAAATTAAGTAATTGGGATTTTTTTAAAAATCTCATAGACTTTAAGCCATAGTGGTGTTAAAATCAGATTAAAAGTTCTCTACATAATAAACAGTATAATTGTTTGTTGTTGTTGGCCACTCTTTTTGGGAATAAAATGATTTATTAACATCAAAGGAAATGATGTTAATTTTGTGATTTAAACGTCTAAAGCACATCTGCCTAGTGAATTAAGACAAAGCTGATAACAATTATTGTATTTGTTTTAATAAAATTGTAATATAATACCAAATTCAGTCTGTGTTATTAAGATTATCAGAGTTCTTATAAAATACACTTATGAATACTATTTATATAATACAAATTTGTCAATTTAAAGCTCATGTCCTATCTATTCACAGATGGCAATCTTAAATTAAGTGACTGAGTATTCTGATAGGTTGAAATCAACTGATTTGTGGACATTGATGTAAGATTTTGATATATTCAGTTAAGGCCTCTTTACAGAGACATATTTACATATTCCTACATGCATCCACAAAGATGTATCTGCTTATTAGCAGAATCTTCCAGTACAGGGCTCTCCAATCTAATCTTGCATCCAGTTCTTCTTAAAACTTATTATTTCAATAAGGAATTATAGAAATGACAACATTAATTGCATTAGGAAGATCATCTGTAACAATTGAAAAATACACACCTGAGACCTTTTTAATGAACGTTAGGGGTACAGCAATTCATAGCATAATTACAATTTCTTCATCTGCCTGTACTCTGTGGCCCCTTCCAGCTACTGTCCCAATCTCCTTGTCATTTTTACTAACAAAGACACAGTTTAAAGATTGATGAAGTTTATCAAGCTTCTCATTAATGTCCAATATTTTCTGGAGTATTAAGGATGCTGTATCTGCAATTAACCATTATTGGTTTAACATAAACGTTGTGAAAGAGAGCTCAGTCATTTTGGCCATTGATATACGCTTTGGTCATCAGACCAGCATCTAGTTCTGCTAGAGCCAATTCAGTGGCAGTTATTGACAGTTCTTCATTCGCTGTAATTCTGCCAATGATGGGGCAGCATCTTATGCCAGAAGTTTGGATTGCAGTAAAAAAAATGAGAGCATGATATTGATCTGTCCACCCAGCTCTGCCTGATTTAGGATCTTAAATATATTATTAAAGGAATCATTGCCACAATGATACTTAAAGGTTTGATGAACCTTTTTGAATGTTAAATATTTCTGCATAAATATGACCTAAAATGTGATCTGTTCTCCACACAAGTCCTAAAACTCTGCTGTA